AGGTAACACCCTTCTGGCTCTCAACAGACGATTTACTATGGCAACATTTGCTCCAAGCATTTTGCATCAAAGATACAGGATTAGAGTTAGAGTCGCATCTGGGTATTATGTTCTTGTTGAAGTCAGGTAGTCAGTTAGGATTAGAGTTAGAGTCGCATCTGGGTATTATGTTCTTGTTGAAGTCAGGTAGTCAGTTAGTGGTGTAGTGTAGGATATTGATGCAGAGCAATTGTTGCCGAAGCATAATGTACACATACAACCCCCTCAGTAAGCATGTACTATTGGAAAATAGATTTCCATATCACTTCCAAACATGTGCATGTCATTTATTTGTATTTATTTATTTCAAAGAGTATTCAAATTATAAAGATAAAAATCTCTTAATTACTTTCCTTTGGCTTTTAGTTTTTATTACAATGAAAACCAATCCATTATTGAGTGGTAAATATTAAAGCTGTAATTAGTATACAGTACATACATGTACACTGAAGCTCATATTATCTCAACTGTCACATACCTTCACATACTTTCTCTTCCTCATTTTATTTCCTCTATTTCTAGTTAATACATGTATGTGTATGACCATACTGAATCCTAATTTGCAATTACAGACTATGAAATGATTAGTTCATACACAGCACCTTGTATCATATGGATAAGATGCTATAAATCCAAATATTATCATTATTCTCATCCTCACTCATTATTATCATTTATATTATATTTATTGTTATTATTATAATCATTATCACTATCATTTCTATCATCATCAATCTACATCATCAATATATGTATTAGTCTAAGTCTTAGTCTTTTTCTCATTCTCACTCTCCCTTTCACTCTCATTCTTATCGTTATCATCATTATCATATCGTTTTCATTATCATCATATCCTTATTATGAACTGAGAGCAAATTAGGGCAAATACAGATACAGGTACAGTCCTGTTATGACAGTACAGCTCTGTAAATGAAAATATTAACTTTCAATATTGCACAAATGATCGTAGTGCAACAACATTTATAGAATTCCTTTCTGCCAGGTTGGCAGGATGATCCAATCAAGCAAGTTCTTTGTTTACACTGTATACTGTATATGGAACTTCATGATGTTATCCACTTTAAAAACCTCATCACAAAACCCACTTAACAATTTTAGCAGAGCTTTCTATTCTCATTATTCACTTGATATCATACCCATCTTTCATGATGAGCGAGATCCTAATAGCAACGGCATCCATCTATTAATAACACCTGAGCTCTCGCTAATCCAATTAACTCAATTGATCTTGTTATGCTAAAAGCCCTAACATGTGTGCAACCATTTTTATAACGTTGGTAGCTTAAACAGGTTTATTTATATCTCGTTATGGATGAAGGTGGCATGTTTCTGATGTTTAGTACCACTAATATGGAAGAAGGTGTCTTCCAAAGGCACATAATATCTTGTAATTTAATCTAATATTCAATTTTCGTCACATCAGAATATTGTAAATACATACATGTATACGTGCACGCATGCTTGATTAGAAAGGAAATTGTGCATTTGAGCACATCCTTGCAATGTGTCCCACATGACATATGTAATTTTCCACATACAATGTATTTCATTAAAAAATGAAGAATCTAATGAAATTACCAAATACCAATTGAACATTTGAAAATGGTGATTTGTAATTTCACTACCAATAGTCATAGTCATATCAAGATATCAAACATTCATTACTAAATTACATGTACAGTTGCATGTTTCCTCACCTGTGACATTTATCCTTTGGAATTATAATGAAATAAATGCCCAATACTCATCAGGACAGACAAGCCACATTTTTTGTAAAGCGCTTAGAGACATTTGTATTAAGCGCTATATAAAAATTAAATATTATTATTATTATTCTATCAATTTCCTCTAATATAAGTTATACAGGATGTATTAATAAAGACGATAATCTCCAAAAAGTGCAAAAACCCATTCCAAAAATGACTTTTAAACAATTAAATTCATGCACATGTAATACTAGGAAGAAGGAGGAAGAAGGAGGAGGAGGAGGAGGAATAGAAGGAAGATGAGGATGAGGACAAGGGGAAGAAGGGAAGGAGAATGAGGAGATTGGAGTAGAAGAAAATGAGGAAGAGGAAGAAGGAGAAAAGAGGAAAAAGAATTAATAGAATGAGAAGGAGGAGAAGAATAGGAAGGAGGAAAATTAAGTAAAATAAGAAGAGGAGAAGAAGAAGATGAAGAAGGAGAAGAAGAAGGAGAAGAAGAAGAAGAAGGAGAAGAAGGAGAATGGAGGAGGAAAACAAGGTGAAGAGGAAGGAGGAAAAGAGGAAAAAGAATTAATAGAATGAGGGCTTTTTAGGACCTTCTGAACGATGTTAGGGTTGAAGCACGAAACAAAACAAATGTATATAGGGGTGATTTGGGGGCGGGGGGCATCGTATCGGAGCCCCCATATTATATATCACGTAAGATCACATTGGTTTGTGGTTATACGACAGCCTGTTTTTGTACAGGGCTTCCTTAGGACCTACTGAAAGATATTAGGGTAGGACCCCCTCGCAACAATTTCATATAAGGGTGTGGGGGCGGGGGCGTCATCCTGGAGCCGCCCAAATAATATATAAGGTAAAATCAAATTTTTTTTTTTTTTTCTTTTCTAAAACAATGCAATTTCTGTTACAGGGCTTTTTAGGACAGCATTTATTGGTTCAGAGCTCTCTTAGGACCTACTGAATGATATTAAGGAAGGAGCCCCAGGCAAAACAATCACATAAGTGTGAAGAGGGTCGGGCCGTTGTTTCGGAGCCCCTGTGTTGATTTTTTTTTAAAAACCTTAATACTTTGCATTACTCTGGGGGTAGAATGTTGGAAGTTGCCAATAATTAGTCTTTACAACAGAACACGCTCATGTCAGGTGGCTAAACGTTATCAAAACCTAGGAGCCTTTCGGAATTTTTGACAAAAATCATGTACAACACAGAATTCAAGTTAGCCGACATTTGTGACATAATTCCACTCATTCCTGAGACTCATAAAAAGTTTTAAATGCATTGCACACATTGGAGAATACAGGCAGGAAACAGTATAAGAACTTTGTCAATAATGTGCTTGATGTTTGCAGCCACTCAATCCATGACCCAATCAAGAGGAATTCTCTAGCACTATTCAGTAAACCTAATTGGAAGGTAACATCTAAGCAGGGGAAGAAGATCAAAGTGCTTCAAAACAACGTGGCATTCTTCGGCCAGCTTTACATATCTATGCAGAACCGGGATGGTGACTTGGCAGAGTTCTTTGCACATGAGATACAGTACTTCCCACATACTTAGTTGATTGAAAAAACTATGAACATTTCTTTTACACTGCAATTATCTAATCTCCGTGATGTGAGATAGTCATGAAAATTAAGAATTGTTAGGCCACCTACAAATATTGCGTTGATGTTTTTTTGCTGAAACGCAAATTTTATCTAGTTATTGAGAACGAATGAATATTTACTAAAATGGGTGATAAACTTTAACTTCAAACCAGTAAAACAGACACTGATCCGGGGAGGTGGTGGTCAACGCACCCCCCCCCCCCCATGGGTCATACATGGTATGTGGTAAACGCTTGGAATAGGTGCTAGAAAGCATACTGCGCATATGATTTTATATATTTCATTTCTTTTGTGAACAAAATCTGATGGGCCTGAACCCCCGCCTTGTTAAAAATTCCGGTATCCGCCCCTGAAGAGGGTGGATTTTTATTGAAAGTTGAATAAAAATGGTATATATAATAATTTAAAAATTGTTTTGTTACTTTTATAATGTCCAATTATCCAATATTTGTCTGTGAGTCACACATTTCAATGATTACTTTGGTGAAACTGCTTGTAGCTACCTATATAATTTATTTTTTGGGGAGGGGCTTCAACCCTAACATCGTTCAGATGGTCCTAAAAAACCCTGTACCAAAAGTTACATTCGTACAACAACAGATCAATGTTATTTTAACTTATATTTTATTTAGGGGCTCCGGAATGACGCCCCCGCCCCCCCCCCCCACACCTTTAAATTAATTTTTTGCCGAGGGCTCCTTCCTTAATATCATTCAATAGGTCCTAAGAGAGCCCTTTACCAAAAAAGACTGTCATATAACCACAGACCAATGTGATCTATCATGATATCTAACACGGGGGCTCTGGTACGACGCCCTGTCCCCAAATCACACCTATATAAATATTTTGTTGGGGGCTCCAACCCTCACATCGTTCAGTAGGTCCTAAAAAAAGCCCTGTACCAGAAATTGCATTCGTACAAGAAAAGAAAATCATTGTTATTTTACCTTATACATTATTGGGGGGGGGCTGTGGGAGGACGCCCCCGCCTCTACACCCTTATATGAAATTGTTGCCAGGGGGTCCTACCCTACTATCTTTCAGTAGGTCTTTAGGAAGCCCTGTACAAAAACAGGCTTTCGTATAACTACAAACCAATGTGATCTTACATGATATATAATATGGGGGCTCCGGTACGACGCCCCTCCCCCAAATTACACCTATATAATTTATTTTTTGGGGAGGGGCTTCAACCCTTACATCGTTCAGATGGTCTTCAAAAGCCCTGTACCAAAAATTAAATTCGTACAACAACAGATCAATGTTATTTTAACTTATATTTTATTTAGGGGCTCCGAAATGACGCCCCCGCCCCCTCACACCTTTAAAATAATTTTATGCCGAGGGCTCCTAGGCTAATATTGTTCAGTAGGTCGAAAGGAAGCCCTGTACCAAAAATGGCGCTTTTATACGCCGTGTCACGATAATTTCGCTAAGCCACCTGACGAGGAGGAGGACTACAACAATGAGCCTACATGTACCTTGTATATTTATAAATCTTATCACTGACATACAGAGAGTGATGTGCTTTAAGAAAAGTTACAACAGATAAGTCAGGCTAGGAAAAAGAGAGAAATAAAGAAAGATATATATATTATTTTTTGCCTTTGTTAGTATTTACCTTTTTTATGTTGGCAGCATACTGTTTGGCAGCAATTTTCTCCACTGTATTCTCAAAGCCAAAGAAAGACTTGACCTCCAGGCTTGCTGTCTGCTCAAAGATTGTCCAGCCTGGGTTGTCTGGATGTACCTGGTAAGAGATAACAAAGAGGAAATAGAGCTGTTAGTAAAATCATTAAAAGAAAAAGGACAGACAACAAAATTAAGGACAAAAAACTGAACAATTTTTGGCAAAAAGGTCAGATTAGATCAGAAAGGATCTCCACTTTCTGTTATAAGTTTACAGAGTTATTCTAAAGAATTCTTGACATTTGTTCTAGATTCTTGAGAAAATTTGTTTGCTTGGGAACCAAGTCACTTTATAGTCCCCTGTATTTTTGTTTTCAAAAGGAACAGACAAATGCAGGTAAACTGTAAAATAAATCAAGAGCACAGAGTAATTTGAGGTCTAGAAAGGTCCTTCATATCGAACTTTGGTATTGGCAAACGGTTTTCCAATCATAAATTTCTTGATAATCAAACAGGCGATCGGCTTGTAAAAGTCATGGGGTACCTGACTGACTTAAAGGTTTATAATTATCATTGCAGCATGAGCTATATCCAGGATTTTGTTTCAGAATCTGAGACAAAGTTACCGGATCCCTTTAAGGAAATACCAATACTATTACTAAGTCCAAGCCCAAGAAATATGAGAACTAGTGTGGAAACAAAAATTGAGGTATGTTTTCCATATAGGCCTGCAAAGCATGTACCACCTGTGTTTCTAATTCTTTCTAAATGTATTGAAGCAAATGGAGACAAAATGGTGCGACTACTGTACATGTACATGTACATAAAAATCACAAGAAAATATTTCACTAAAATTTATTTTTCTTTGATTATCTTGCCATTCAAAATGTTTGAATGGCTTTTTAATCATGGGCTACAAAATGATTGAAGAACAAGTACTGTCAGGATTTTCTGCTGGTAGATTCTGGTAATAAATACTATTAAATTGAAGTATATGTATTTAATACAAGTATATTTGCATATTTCAGCAGCTCTATCATGAGCAATTCTGAAATTACACGGTACAGTGTATCATTTATACAAGGCCAATAAATATATAGCGTAGCTGTTTAATTATGGAATTGTGAATAATGAACAAGTTTATATGTACATGCTTAATCAAGTGTGATGATCACGAAGGTTACCATATAAATTATTTGCCATTCCCCTTCGATCTATTCTCGACCCATTCCCTGTTCTTTTGTCAGTCTATCTCATTCTGTGTGTATCGATATTATACATACATCCCATATATGCGGTTGTACAGTATGACCTTATTAATTCCCATTATTGATTGGTCATTTAGGTCTCTCCCATAATAAACCAAGTGAGGTGACCAAAATTAGATTTTGTTTTCTGTCATGTATCTGTATTTATTGTTTGTCTGCTTATATCCATACTTTGGCAGAGATATTTACAGTAAACGCACTTCAAATTATACACCATTTGCTCTTTGCATGTCAGAGATCCCCCCCCCCCCCCCTCTTTTTTTTTTGGCCTCCTCTCTCTCTTTCTCTCCGCACTTTCATTTAATCTATTCTTTTTTACAGTAGCCTCTTATCTTTTTATTTGGTTCCTCTTCCTATCTCCCTCCCCCATTTCTCTCTCTCTCTCTCTCTCTCTCTCTCTCTCTCTCTCTCTCTCTCTCTCTCTCTCTCTCTACATACATGTACATATATCCATCACTTTTCCCTCTGTCTTCCCTACAATCCAAGAAAATCAATCTTCAAATTTACAACATACACACACATGTACATGTAGGTCTCAACAATCTGTGACATAAGTAGTTTGAAAGCAATCTGCTGCTGGCTGGCTGGCTATTGATTTATTTTTCTCTTCCTTGTGACCCCAATCACCCACCAAGAAAAAGGGAAAACATGAGCTACATTTGTACTCCATGCGAGTTCGCGGAATTGCAGTATTCAACGTTGAATCCTGTTTCCCCTGAATTGACCGGCTTGCTCATGTGATGCATCATGGATCACAAGCGCCTCTTAGGGTGCGTTTATGCTCACCTTCTTCAGGCCAGAATGAGGCTTTTGTTATGCTTTTAATTCAAAACAAGGTTGAGTCCGTTCTCATTTTTTTTATAAACACCAAGAAAACGCTGATCTAAAACTCACAAAAAGGTGCCTTTTTGTATCGGCGTTTCTCCAAAGCGTTTCTGGGGAAGCATAAACGCACAATCATTAGTAAACACGTTTAAATGATGTCATAATGAACGTGTTTCCGGTTTACGTTAAAGCCAGTGTGAAAAGAGTATCATTCTTCTCATCAAATCTTAGCTGTCCATTGTAAGCCTGTTGTTCATCATCATGAACCCCTTTCTCCATTTCTACTCTCATTCTTCTCATCCTTCTCCTGTCTTCTCTTCTCTATCTCATCCTCTTCTCATCAACTCTTAATCACAGAGCCGATATTAGTTCTTGCTGAGCCTGAGTAAAGGATCAATCCTCTGTTAGCAATTAAGCTGAGGAAATGTTCCTGATTCGTGTGACATGAACAACACTTCCGAGAATATTCTTCCCGAACACGTACAAATCTGAACAGCATTAGCAGTAGGTTTACAGCTGAACATAATTAAAAAACATGACACTTTTGTAGAAGAAAGATAACCTTAACTTTGTGACACGTCTCCATGATTCTCAATACTTACAAGGGTGGAGTGTTTAGGCCTTTGCTGATCTTGAATAAGTAAGACATATTTTCATTTGACATACTGGTAAATGAAGAAACTTTTTTGTTATTGTTGAAATATCAGGGAACTTTAATTTAGACAGGTACATGTATGTATATATAACAGCATGTACACTGTACAGAGATAATACTATTACACAGTAATAGACTCACTGAGTATGTGCATCCTTCTAGGATTCCAATACGGGATGCAAAGCTCTCATTCCTGGCCTCAATCTTCAGGGTCCTTTCCCTCATATCCATACTGTTCTTCTGGAGGAAATAGATGAACTCTACACCAGCAATCTACAAAGAAGAGAAACACAAGCAAGTTTTATAGATGATCTAACATTTGCTCCTGGCTTTGTTTTGTCAAATTTATAAAGGTAGGCTTAAATGGTTGGGTTGCTATTTGGCCCGGCAGATCAGTGCATTTTGATGATAGAACAAGGTACCAATATCAGAGTATTGGAACTTTCGGGGAGGAACCTAGTACATGTAGGGATGTCTGCCGGGGCCCTATGCAGCATGTGGCCCTGTAGGCCGGTTAAAATGGCCCAAATATGTATTTGATCTAACGAACAAGGTACCACTTGAAACAAAATTTAACTAAAATTATCTTGATAAAATGACGACAGCCACAAAGCACTGAATGGCCCATGCCAGACAAATTTTTTACTGCTTAGGGGCCCGCCAGACACCAAAAAACGTGGCCCAAAGTTAATATAGCACTGACCCAAGTTTAGAATGGGCCTATTCAAGGTACCACTTGTGGTTTCAGAGAAACAGGGGCAAGGCTGTGAAGGGTAGTCGAATGCTCGAGTACCCGCACGGATGACATCTACTCGGGTATGATTTCTCGTACCCGAATATTCTGCCGCAAAAAAAAAAAATTATAAAAAAAAATATTTAAAATTTTAAAAAAAAATGTCCAGGCCGATGCTTACCAGAGCCTGGGTGAGCGGCGGCCGCTGGCATGGTGCCGTCGGTAAAAATGTTTCCCAACTCAAGCACTGTCAAACTCACCACTCAGAAACTGGGACCAAATGTCTGGATTTCTGCTTGGACTTGGAGGAAAATGGATTATTCTGCCATCTTTGGTTTTTAAAACAGCATTGTTCACTGTTATTATTATTATTAAATCGGCGCCTTCAACTGCAACTCAAAGTAAAATTGCATGCGTTTTCGGCGACAGAACTGGGATACTGCTCCAGTGGTATGTATGGTGGTGGCAAAAAAAAAAAAAAAAAAAAAAAAATTCAAAAAAATTCAAAAAAATTCAAAAAAATTCAAAAAAATTCAAAAAAAATTCAAAAAAAATTCAAAAAAAACACATGGCGTCCGAATACTCGAGTATTCGCTTGTAAGCATGGGAGTGTACTCGGGTACCTCATTACACTTTTGTGCACAGCCTTACATTTAATACAATAAGCATTTGCTTTGTTACTGTTGACTTGATTTAAACGAGGTATATTTACATACCATTTTGTAGTAGTATACATCACATTTTTATTCTGTAATCAAATTTATGATTGAAATAATGTGATCTGCTTGAAAATGTCATGTTACAGGGCAAATTCAATATTTCAGCTGTCGAGCTGATGGCTGATGAAGTAGTTTAAGACTTACATTTAGGTTTACCTGACGATGGTAAGGATTTTAAGAATCACTAACATTATTTGAATACTTAACAGGTCATCAGTATGGACATCAATATCAGCTGATTGCATTCTACAAGTATGTAGGACTTTAATTGATCATTTTAGAAAAGACAAAAGGGGTGAGTGACAGGGGAACAAACTTTGCAGATAGAGAAAACAAATACAGCTATATGGTAGGTCTATTAAATTATCAAAATGTCAATAGAACTTGAAATTATGAGGAATGCCTACAGTGACTGTGCAAAAAGTTGGTTGTCATAATGTTTGCTCCAGGAAGTGTCATACATTCAGCAACTGAATTTACATTCATGCCTACATGTACAGGGTGTACATGTATTGCAAATTTGATGTTTTGTTTTTGTGTTTACAAGAATGAAAGTTGGACTAGTTGAATTAAGGCCTTTGTTAAATATTTTTTGCTTTCATATGTTGCATTCCCAAGAAAAATAAATCAGGACAAATCAATTTGTTAAATACATAAAAAATTCCATTACTTATCAAGGGTGTGAATAATTTAGATGTATATTCCACAAAATGTTTCCTGATCATTTTATGCATTTACACTTTACAGTGCTCAAGTACAATGTAAGAGTATGACATAATGTTGTTGGGGTAACAATGTTTCTAGTTTCTACCTTTCCCTCTCTCCTTCTCTAACTTATACTTAAAATAATCTTGATTTCTTCATGTTTGTACTTTCTATGCCATACAAAATGTACATTTAAGGGTTGAATTTATTATATTTTCATCTTTATCTCTCTTGAAGACTGATTTTGTATTAACGCTTTATATTTCTATCCAAAGTACTCCAAGCAGGGCTCAAATTAATTTTTTGTCCACAGGGGCTCTTCCAAAAAAAAGGGCCCCCGTGAGAAGGCTCACGGGGGCTCTTTTAGTGCTGAGGGGGGCTCTTATTTTAATACAAATTTCCATTGAATTGGTACCCATGAAACTCCTAAATTCCTTTGTATTTTATCATTATCATTTATTTAATTCGGCATTTTCCCTCTTAGAAATTTACTTGTTACATAGCTGTTGTTGACCTTTATCCCTGAGATGACATTCTCTCCATTTCTTCCTGTTCTGGTGATCCGAAGGGATCATACCTCCCTGCATGGTCACTGACAGATGGTTATATATCTCATCAAATCAGCTCTCAATAAACATAAGAAAAAAAGGAGACCATGGGGGACCAACGGTCACCGATTAGGCATTGTTTGCTATGTATAGAGAGAGGGCCGTCATGATTTGGGAAGTTCCTGTAACCAAAGAGATACCAGCTCTTTGCGATAACCAACTACCGTCTGGAGTCAGGATAAAATTATCTGAATACCAATGAAGAAAAAATGTCATACTGACGGAGCATGTCAATTTGCATCAGATTGTTACACAATTTTGATGACTCCAACATCTAATTGCAATGAACTATACTGTATCAGCAATGTATATTTCTGCTTATTTTCTTCAATTTTATAAACTTTCAAAATTATACATAACCTACCGGTATTAAAAGACAATTGCATTTGGTGGCAAATACTTCTAACCCAAGTTTTTATAATTGTAATTCAATAATTATATATAATTTTAACACACAGGGTTTGAAAAAAGCTTTCATTAATTAACTTTTCCTTCCCACAATCATTTTAAACCCTGAAAATATCATTAAAGAAAACCCCTATACCGGTAGCCTGAAGGGAACTGCGCCCCCCCCCCCTCCCATGAACCCCTCCCACTCACCCATCTGGGGCATTGTCCCTAGACCCCATAGGGGGCATACATGTACATGTACCTAGTCCCTAGATTCCCCCCCCCCCCCCCCCCCCCCATCGACCCAAGATTTCTCGTTAGCCATTCTCGTTGCTGGCTATTCTGTTAAATTTCCTGGTATTAGTTAACTACTGTACATGTACATGTAGGTAAGAATTAAGAACAATGAACATGATGTCTTTCAGAAGAAAAAAATTCAGGTTGCTACCTTTTACATTAATTTCTTGCTTGTTTGTAAGTATTTTATTGTAGTTTTGCACTTCTTTTCATTTCATTCCACTGAGAGTTTTAAAGCTTTTCCATAAAAAAGGTATAAAGGCTACATGTATTTAAAAGAGAAAAAAAACAGACCTGGAGGGTTGATTCTAATCTTACTTTTAAAATAATCCTGGAAGATGGATGGGAAATGTAAGAAATGAAATAAACAATCTGCATAACTTTTACTGTCTGTGAAGTCAGGCTTACAGTTGTATCTGTATGCTAAGGCTTTGCATGGGCAATGCACTTACTGTACATGTATGTAGAAAACAGCCTGCTAATCCAGTTTTCCATTAACCTTTTTTTTTCCACCTTTGTCTTTCATCTGAAGTACATTCCTAAAATTCACAATGCAAATCCTACCTTTTGCAAATATTTTACATGAAAGGGTGGTTTAAGGCTAGTGCACACAAAACTAACAATTCAAGAGAAGGTTGATCTGGTTAAGATGAAAAATAATCTGTGAGCTTTCTCATTCTTTCAGTTCAAATAAATAAAAGTTCACCGTCAAGGATTGCTCTTCAAATAACCTCATATATTTGAAGCACGACAAGAATTTTTTTTTAAGAGTTTGGACCAAACATAAGGGCCATTTACAATGCAGAAAAAACAGTTTGAAAAGCCATCATTTTTCTTTTAAAACTACCATACTGGAAAACCCATTCAAAAAGGCTGGTTCTTGCTCAATTTTGAATTATTATTGTTTTAGCAAGTTGTTACTTGTCGCTGCTCTGCGTGCGTTAGCACTGAATCAATAATTCAGTGGTGTTTTGAGAGCAAGAATAGGGCTACATAAGTACATGCATGTAAATATGTGTCTTGAGCAAGAAATGCATGTAACCACAATAATTTGATTCCCATTTACACAAAGCACTATTAGTTTGCAAAGGCTATTCAGGGGATGGGGGTGGAGGACTTCATTTGACTGATCATGTAATTTGCTCGATTTTGAGATCCATTTTGGGGGAATGTTTACTCCTGTCCTTCATTATCCTTTTGTGTATCAAAATATACATGTACAGTTCATGTAAATGTACACCTGCATGTATGTTTCATCAACAATTTTTATACATTTCTACTCACAAAATATTGAACCAATGAAGAAATGCCCAACATTATTCTTTCAACTAATTGAAAATACTGATTGATTTTAATATCTCTTTATAAAGGAAGTTTTGCTTCTGCCCTTCTTTCTTCTAGTGTGTATCACAGTACATAATTATGTATACATGCAGTACAATAAGAATTGAATAAAATCATACTCACAAATTAATAAACTAATTGATGTTCATAAATTGAAATGCCCAAATCAATCTACATGTAGGCTACTAATTACGAAATACATGTACATGTCAATGAAGTCACATGTGTAAATCTATATAATGTACGTTGAGTGACTAAAACAACATTACATGTGTATAATATAGTGTAATTTTTATTCTTGTGAATTCACGATGTAACAAGATCGGTATCTTGTACAGATGTTACATATGGTACCAGCATACATGTACAGTGTAAAACATACATGTCCACAAGTACCAGTACTGTAAAAGTAGAAATATTCACGGTAAATTAACTTTTGCCGATTTCGGGCTAAGATCCGCCAGCACAAATTTTAGAACTCTCAAAAATATAAGTATGACTTATTATGCATGTTTTGAACGCACAGCACTAGCAGTACCCCTGCTTTCGGAACCAAGAGAGTCAAAGAGACTAAACTCGGCATGGAATGGACTCCAGCATACTGTAGCTAGTGTAGCTGCAGAGCTATACAAAATTTTTGTCCAGTCGCCTCGCAAAACTTTGATATTGATGTCTGTTTACATCATTATTGCAGCGATTTCAATATAGTTTTGTGAATAGATGTATGAAATCAAAGCTTGAATTGTGATTATTCTAGCATACATATCGGTAATGAATTTTGATCATTTTTCAAAGTGAAGTTTCACAAGAAATCAGATGGTCGTTTAAAAACAATACCGTACATACTGTAGTATGATTCATCAAATCAATGCATTGAAACTTATATATTTAACTAGATAAATTCGTTCTTTTTTAATGGTATTTAATTGGTATTATATGAAGCACGAAACCTTAACAAAGATATATAAGCCAGTAAGCCTACTAAATAAACTCAACAAATTGTATCCTTTTATGAATTGATGAAAAAGTAGCCCCTGAATAGAGTAGCCCTCGAAATGGAAATAGGAGCCCCCGAAAGTTAATTTTTTTACTGTCAGGAGGTTTGGGTTGGGAGAAAAAAAATGTCAACATAGAATTTGACATGTGGGCTGATGACTAACAAGTAGGCATTTAAGTATCAGACCTTCAATGTACAATGTATAGGGACATTCCAGTCCTTTTGTTCATACAGTACATGCATGTACACAGTGGCGGATCCGGGGGGGGGGGGGGGGGGGGGGGGGGGGGGGGGGGGGGGGGGGGGGGGGGGGGGGGGGGGGGGGGGGGGGGGGGGGGGGGGGGGGGGGGGGGTGGGGGGAAAAAAAAGTGTAAAAACATGTTAACTTTACCTTTTTTTGGAGATGCCCCCCCCCCCCCCCCCCCCCCCGAGCAAATTATCAGCCGGCGCAATTTTCAATTTTAGCACACTAAATTTCAAATTTGGCCCCCCCCCCCCCCCCCCGAAATCCTGGATCTACGCCTGCATGTACATGTAGTCATGTACAGTTAGATTTTAAAGTGAAACAATCACCAGGAAGTAGTTTGTTCTGTATGTTAATAGTTCCATGTGGTAAAACTATATTAAACTAGATGGATGTTCGACTGCACGCAGTCGAAAATGATGCCTCCGCCATAGAGCAATTTTTCAAATTCAAGTTTGATTGTAATCCATTAACAGGTTTGCAGAATATCGATATTATTACCAGCTATTTTTGTATGACCCTTTGGTCTTCGATCTTATGACCCTAAAATTTTATCAGTTCAATGGCTCTGCAAGATGCATCAATCTGTTCTTGAGATAATGCGATCACAAGCTATTTTTGCATACAAAATGAGCCCTGTGACCTTTGACCTTTGACCTCGTGACCCCAAAATCTAATCAGTTCATTAGCTCTGCTATGTATGTACGTGACCTAAGTTTGGCAGGTATCCATCCATCGGTTCTTATAATAACGAGATCACAAGCTATTTTTGCATACGTAATGAGCCCTGTGACCTTTGACCTTTGACCCCGTGACCCCAAAATCTAATCAGTTCATTAGCTCTGCCAGATACATACATGGTTAAAATTTGGCAGGAATCCAATCATCGGTTCTTGAGATAACGCGATCACGAGAACGGGACGTATGGACGGACGGACGTACAACCCGAAAACATAATGCCTCCGGAAACTTCGTAACAGAGGCATAAAAATATGAGCTTCAAATGTTACCATACTTCTACAAAAAGATCTTGCAAGTTTAAAAACACTCTCAATTAACAAAAAGGCACACCTATACACATTTGTATTAAATAGGGCCATACAGAAACCAAGTGCACCTTGGGTTCCGTGTGGGCACTTTTATGCTTTTCTTTATTTTCTTCATACTCCATATCCGATTCCATGACATTTGCTCCGGCGACAATTGCTCCGCTGTAAATTTCATACACTAATCGAATGGCTAACTTCAACCCTGGATTCAACACTATACCCTACCCTAAACCTAACCCTAAACCTAACATAAAACCCTATTGAAACCCTAACCCTAACCCTACATCTTAGACGAAATAAAGCCCGGAGCAATTGTCGCAGGAGCAAATGTTGTGTCACCTCCATATCCGTCAGCCAATTGACCGGGGTTGAAGCTTTTACAGGCTGATTTTATAAGTGATTGGTACAATGAAGAAGAACAAATGGGCAGTAGGGCCAATGGGTTTCTGGACCAATGGGTTGTACATAGAACCAATGAAATATAATATCAATGAGATGTTAGACAGACAGGACAAACATGCAGGACCATAAAGGTTAAACATAAACATTTTAAGTACACACCTTTTTGAGAAGGTATGGAGCATCTGGGTTGAGCTTGCATCGTCTCTCTACTACATGGACGGCGCCATCATCGCTCTTGAATTCCGTCATGATCTCACTCCCAACAAAGATCGGGATCATCTTGCAGGTTGGAAACCGACGGTCATAGGCCTGCAAAAATAGGATTGGATAATATAATGAAAATTTGTGTGTTCTCTTATTTTTTAATGATCAATCTTAATTTTGAACAGTACAGGGGAAGCCCACTCCAGCATCAAGTTGATTGTAATGAAACTGGTGAAACAGTGTGAATTTCTCTCCAAAGATGTAACTGTGCCTACAATGTCCAGTACAGTGTAGATAAAAAAAAAATTACATCCCCCCCCCCCCCCTCCCCCACCTTCTGTGAACTTGTGTCTTTATCTGACAAATCATGGTGTGCTTGGATGAAATTCGAGTTCTTCAGAATGTACCAGTTCATGCTAGGTAAAAAAACCTACATGTACATGTATAGCCTTTCTGCAGCACACACACAAAATATGTGAGAGTAAAAGAGGTGAGAGTAATATTTCAAAATCTCACAAGAGAGTTTTAACGACATAAAGCATATAAAAATACATGGTAACCCAAGGATAATTAAATGAAGCTCCTGTTTACAATATTTCAAGATAATGAAGTTTTCATAGATTGGCTTCAAATTCATGTTAAAGAAAAACAATTAAATTTCATGCATTCCCAGTCCCTCACAATGAAGAAATACATGTACATGTTGACACATGTACACTGTATACAATATCATTCACATTTTAAAAAGATAGAATTCTGTAAAAACCGCTTCTTTTCTCTTCTACTTTACCATCATTCTCTTCATGTAAAAAAGAAAGCCAAAGAGGACAATAAAAATAAATGAATAACACTGGTATCGCCTCAAAATTTAGTGTACATGTCCATGTTTACATACCGTAATTAACGTTGTATAAACCGCCCTCGTGTATTAACCACACCCCTCTTTTTCGCCCTTAAAAAGAAATTGCTGAGATTTTTGTTTGTTTTTTGTGTAAGATCATTAATGTAAATTAAAAAACAGAAGGGGACCTAGGATAGAAATTGTGGTACACCATGTAATAGAAGAAAAATTGGAAGAATTATTATTATAAACTACATAGAGTCTATCGAGATCTATCAGAAAGATTACTTTCAAACCCAGATGACAGACAAATTTGAGTGTTGTTCTAGTTTCCGAGTGGTGAGTCAACACACCGATTACCCCCGAGTACGATCCCCTACCCTCTCATTCTATCTCTCTCTCTCTCTCTCCTCTGTCTTCTGCTCTCTCTCTCTCTCTCTCTCTCTATCCTACATATATCTCTCCCTCTCTCTCTCTCTCTCTCTTTCTCTCTCTCTTTCTGTCTGCCTGTCTCTCTCTCTCTCTTCATATCCTGGAAGTACAGGGGGTGAAGATGGGTCAGCTTGTATAAGGTCAAGGGGGAGGGGGTCTTCCCTGCTGTTATGGTTGGGTGGTTGGTAGTGTGTAAGTGACATGTGGACTCATCAATTCAGTTCAATTTATTTCAACAATATTTTCAATATCTCACACTTCACTTTTCCTCCTTTTCCTTTTCCTTTCCTCCCTCTCTTTCCTTTTCTCCACTTTTCTATCTTCTTCTTCTTCTTTCCTTCTTGTCTCTCTTCTAGCCTCTTCTATCTGGCATCAATTTTCTTCTTTCAACTGTACAGTGTATCTACCATCTATATGTACTGTACATGTACTAGCATACAGTTGTATTTGTATTTGTTGACATGCATAGCAGTGTTTCATAAATGTAACAGTACTAAGCACAGGTGCAATATAATAATGTCTATTACAAAGCAATGTTTTGAATGAAACTGTATATGCATCATCTCACACTGAACTGTTCCTCTCTTCTACTCTCTCTCTCTTTTTCCCTTTCTCTCTCCCTTTCTCACTCCCTTTCTCACTCCCTTTCTCACTCTCTCGTTCTCTCTCTTGTCTTTCCTCTTTGCCATCCAGTATGATGTACTTTTAGTTTATGTCTGCTACTCAAAATAAACAGTTTTTTATCTGAAATTTTTAACAATTGATGCATAATGGATTTTTAGATCTTTGCTGTGACTTGTTATATTTATATGTTATATGACATTGATTGTTGTCATGTACATTTTCTGCTATTTATTTAAGTTAATATTGTCTGTTGGGAGCCAGGGGAGTACAAATAATCAAATAATTCCTCTGGCTCTCAACAGAGAGGTTAAATTATATTACATTGTTATGTTATTTATGTTATTTGTAGTTACTGTCTATGATATGTTAATGTATTGTTATATTTATACAAATGTGAGCTGTAAAACGATTTTTATGCCTTCATTTTATTTTGTGCATGACAATAAAGAAATTCAGATTACAGAGCTTGGAGACATTGCCAGGCATTGGTGTACTGTGTATAAACCGCACCCCCCAATTTGAATTTTTTTCGGCGGCAAAAAGGTGCGTTAATACACCGTTAATTACGGTACATTGTAAACATACCATAATTACATGTAGGTACATGTACAGTATGTTTCTACTTTTTAAAAAAATACTCTGCAAGTGCAGTCATACTCAGGAAACGTATGTTTCATATACAGTGTATATAATTCCATCTAACAAGGTCACAGTTCATATTTTGTATCTTGGTTTTTCTTATTCTATCTTGCAGGCCTTAAATTTCAATATTTTTAGGGCAAGGCCACTTTTCTGTAGGGCACATTCCTATATTACAGCACAAATAGGAAGAATTGGAAAGGGCACAAAAAATCTCCAAGGCCAATGAGAGGGGCATTGAGGCCACTCACAGGGGCATCCACAGCCATGGCCTTGGATTAATTTAAGCCCTGATCTTGATTGTTAATCCTCACCCCCTGCATCCTTGCCTCAGCCTCATGCATGTCAAAATAAATACAGAAGCCAAAGCCAAACAAGCCTGTTCTACCATGGACCTACATACTACCATGTCTAGTAAGTCCATGATACTATGGTCCATGGTTCTATTATCTATAGAACAAGGCAGTTATTTTCATCATGTTGTTGACATCAGGTCTTCAGCTAGGGACAAAACCAGGTTAATAAAATGTGGGACAAAAAGAATCGGTTCATTTCATAATTTTTCTCTGTTTTTCACAGACAATACCGATAGGCCATTTTTGTTATGTCATTAGTGCCATGTTACAAAGTATTTCATTCACCTTTTACAAATAATTGTCTTTCAATAGTCAGAATGTAAATTGCATACATGTATATGTACATTACATGTTGTTACATGTAGGTAGAACAAGCCATAATGTTTGTCCTACCTAGCAACAATTAATGTATGCAATTCACACTCAGACTATAAAATAGAATTATTCATAACAGGTGAATGATAACATTTGTAACATGGCACTCAACAAAGATTTATGCATTAAATCCATTGTACTGGGTGGCGTGTTTATTTACCTCCACAATCATGACATGATGATGCCTATCTATTCTCATTCATAATTTAGAACAGCAAGCACTTTATCACATGAACATGCAACTTACATTATTTTTCTAGTGTGCAAGCAGTATGCAAGTATATTCAAAGAGTTGTACAATTTCACATTGTTTTTCTCTGCTTGATGATTAAAATGAAAGACCTTTTCTAAAATCTTGTGCACACACCAACAAATAATGGGTATAGAATTACACACATTTGGTCTGGTTGTTTTATAGCCCAAATTTTCATTTCTCAAATTTTGAAAATGAGTGCATCTGTTGAAGCTATAATTTTCAGGACACAATTCTTCTATATATCATATGACGTTCTCCTAAACTGAATTGAAAAGAAGAAAGCTCAAAAATTATTGATCACCTTTCCCAAAATTCAAACGTTTTTTTAAAGGACACTCCAAGCATATGTAATTTGCTTGGATTGGATTTGTATAATTATGTACATGTACATGTACAGTATACATGTAAACATGAAGTTAATGAGCTGGCAGTGGCTGCAATGAGATGAATTGAATTTCTGTATTGGTGAAACAGGAGGTGACATACATACATGTATGATGCATTAGATGGGGCTGATTCTAGATACATGTACATGAGAGGAAAACAGGATGTGTTGAATGACAAAGCAATCATTGCACACATGAACACCATTCATTGATTCATGGCATGGTACATCTTTATACATGTCTAATAAGACTAAGGCCTTATGACGCGGCAAAACCATGGCATATTTGTTAGGATGTAAAGTGAACTGTATATATGTATGTATCAAGTCCTTTGTGCGCGTAGTTGCCATTCATTTACATTTTTTTTTTTAAACAGGCGTACCTCCTGAGTGACAGGGGGCACAGTGCCCCTCTACTTTTTCAAGTACCCCAAAAGTGCCCCCTTTTACTTCAAATAAGTGCCCCTTTTTCTTTCTGATAGGTGCCTCTTACAACCTCTGATAAGTGCCCCATTTCCTTTGAACGAAGGGTCCCTTGTAGACCCCCTTTCCCTTTTGGAATACGCTCCACTGCCCCTAAACAAGCGCAATATCGGAGCATTTTACATTACAAGCAAAAGTCATCAATTTTTCTCATATTCTGGAGTTCTGTCGAAAGTTGCTAGGCACAGTTCTACCCATAAACATAACATAAAAACCTGAATGGAAAAACCTACCCCTGGTGTGCAGGTTCTTTTAAATGCCTGCCAAAACTCCACAGGTTTTTGCATGGTAAATGCTGGCTCTCAAATTATTTCATTTTTGGGTCACATACTGTAACTCTCCTCGTTAGTGACAAGTGGCGCATGTGCACAACTCATACCCACAACCTGAAACGGTCTTTTCATGGGTTTTTCCAGTTGTGTAAATGTTAGTTCAAAATCTGATGAATTTTCAAATTGGTTATTTTTACAATGTAAATGGGTCTTATGTCTAATTGTCAAGAGATATGGGCTGGTCAGAACTCACAAAGAACAATAAACTATAATGTAACAATGACCATAATGATTAGAGTGGTCACGTTTTAACAATAAAATCAATAAAATCATTGGGGTTCTGTCAATCAAGCATAAGAGATTCTTCTTCTTAACCACCATCACATCATTGGAGTAAATTTATTGGCTCTCAGATAAATCTCTCAATTAGTGACCGAGCAAT